CTAGGTATTTCTCTGAGAGCTGGCTCTTCTGCGCGGAAGTGGGCTGTTTTGAGGATAACAAGGGGGCCAGTCTTGGGGAGGGCATAGGGTGGCAACTAGTTGTCCCACTCCTTCTTGAGGACTCTAGGTCACACTGGGTCCAAATCCCACTGCTCCTGACCAACCCTCTATGCTGTCCGTCCAGTGGTTCCCTGAGGAACTTTGAGGAAATGCAGATGTCCAGGTTCTCCCCCACAATTTTTTTGGGAGAAGGGGAACTAGGAATCTGTTTTTTTTTTTTTTTTCAAACAAGTTCTCCAGGAGACTATAACAACCAGACTTGGACTGCCCTAGCCCGGCCTTTTCCTTTTATAGGTGGGAGAGGTCCTGCTCAAGATGGCACACCTGGCCTGGGTGTCAGGTGTGTGTGTCAGGTGGAGGGACAGCTGTGAGTCCACCTTGGGCTTATATGTATTTTGTAAGCCAGACCTGAGAGTTCTTTGTAGGGCAAAGCCTGGTCTGCCCCACTGCTTCCCTGGCATTGCGAGGTGCCTGATGGTGTCTACACGCTCAGCAAGTGGCCCAGGATATTGACTGTCCAAGAATCTGGAGATAAGACACCAAACTGACCGGTTCTGGAGCAGGTTCCATCCTAGATCTCCCTGCAGACCACTGTGAAAGCCTGGACTGCACTCAGCGATGGCATACCCTGGTTCTGCCTGTGACAGTTACTGACCTGCAGCCTTGGGAGAGGGAACTCAGGAGAACTACCAGGCTCAGTGGTGGTTCTTTCTTTCCCCTCATTCCCTGCTACCCTTCCCAACATGTTGATGAAACAGACACTAGCGAGCTTTTGGGGTACAGGTGTTAGGCCTGGACAGGGCTGACTGGGGGATAGGGGTGGCGGCAGAGCTCTTAGGGCAGAACTGAGACCACAGGGGTTGGGTGGCGGAAGCTTCAGGGAGGCTGGATTCAACCAACTGGAGAAGTCCACTTGGTGGGAGATGGTGAACCCCTTGTCCTGGGTGGACTGGAGCCTCAGGCACACATCTGGTAGAACAGGAGGAGCCCCGGCTCTGCATACTCTGGGTGAGCTCTTACATGGTAGGCCTGACCTGAGTCGGGCGCCACGGTAGTCGTTATTTTTAGTTTTAGCCAGCTGGGGCACGCCCCTTCCCCTTTATCTCCAGATTCAGATATGAGTCCGATGGCCCGAAGGACACGCGCACGGAATGCCCTGGGGATAGTGGGCAGGGAAGGCGACTTGAAGCTGGAGCCTCTGGGGCTGCAGCGGCGTACCCAGAAAGAAGAGGGCAATCCCGGTAGACTGCGTGGAAGAGGAGGCGTTTGCTTACGCCTTTGAGGAGGGGCGCATTCTCGCCCATGACAGAGGTTGCGGACGTGAGTTTGGAGAAAAAGATATCCTAGGTACGAGGCCTGAAGCCTGCCATTCGGTGGTGCTGGTTGGAGAGGGGGGCAGCCCCACCGGGCGTCGCGTGCCCGCGCACTCCCGCGGCCGCTCGCGTGCCCGTGCTGAGTCCGCGGCTCATTTGC